GCTCTGCGGGGCGCGCGGGGCGCTCGGAGGTACGCGTCTAACTTCCCCTCCCTGACCCCTCCCCGGCCGCGCCGCGCCCGCTAGCAGAGGGTGGGCGAGCAGGGACGAGGGTGCGGGCTGGGGCCCTCCCGGGACTCCTGGGGGGCCCCGGGAAAGCGCGCCGCGACCCTATCTCGAGCTCTCGGGCCGGGCGTTCCTGGGCTGGGCGGCAGGGAGGAGACTGCTCGGCCCTGCGCTGGGGGTGTGGGCGCCGCCGCGGGAAGCTTCCAGCTCGCGATCCCCACCCACCACCCGCCCCGCCGCGCGCGGCCCGACCCCGCCAGTTCAGGGGAGCCCCGGGGTGGGGGCCGTTCCCCAGCTTCGCGGGTCCCTCCCCGCCGATCGGGGGTTTCAGAGTGGGACTCCTGGTTGCACCCGGAACAGAGCGAACGAATCCTGCCGCCCTCCCTTCTGAGCCTTTGCAGCTCTGCGCCTGGCCCAGGCCCGGTGAGAGGTACTGGGCTGCACGCGACCCGCAGGCGTTTGGGGCCTTAAACTCGTCCCGAAATTCTTCGGTCTCTGGCCTGGCCTGTTGTTCTATAAGTACCTCCACAAGTCCACCTACATTTTCTGGACTTAATTCACTGGAAAGGCTTTGCATTTCCCTGGTGCTTTCCAGAAGTCAAGGATTACTAATAAAAGCATAATTATTGGGACTTTTTTACACAATGAGTACTGCACTTGGGCCTTCTTGCCCTCCATGGCTCCTTGAAATTTAATGTTGTTCAATGGAAGACTTCCTTTGAGATTTTTTAAAGATAAAACATTCTAAATCAAGGGCCTTGTATCTCTTTATAGGATTCGGATTAAATTCTGAAGCTTATTTACTGCATTTTAGGCATGGAAGAGACAGATTGCTGTCTACCCCGCCTCATGATTTCAGGAGGAGCTTCAGAGTCATGTTACGGCCACGATGGCATCTGTAGTATGGACGCTTCACTCTTACCCCAGCTGCTCAGAGTCTGACTGCAGCTCCCCCCTCCCCCGCTCCCCAGCTCTGCTCCCAACCTGCTGTATGTGGGCCCTTCCAAGCTCCTTCTCCCCATCTTCCTCCCTCCTTCCTGATTCCTGCCTGGCCCGAAGGGTGGATTGGGCCTGGAATTGGAGGTCTGGGGCTGCAGTCTGAGGCTTTGATGTGGCTTTGAGAGGGAAGGTTCCAGTTGCAGAACAGGGAGATCTGGGAGCGCAGTGAATGGTTCTGATTGGGTGGTGATCCGCCATGAACCAGTGGTCAGTGTAGGGTGATGGCAAGTCCATAACTTCGGAGTCAGATGGACTAGGGCTTCAGCCTGGGTGCCATCCTATGTTCTCAGACTGGCTTTGGGAAGGTGAGTTTCCTTCTCTAGGTCTTAATTTTGCATCTATAAAATTGAACTACTAACTTCTTCATAGAGGCTTGAATAAAATACTGTGTAAGACTTCCTTACCTCCGGACAACTGCTCAGTAATGCTCATTTCCCTCCTTTTCTACTCATTACCCTCTTTCCTCCTCATCTGTGCAATTACCTTGGGTATGAGGCTAAGAGCCAATGGATTAGATACCCATCGAGGGGTACAGAATGTGGATAGGAAGGTTTCTCGAATTCCATAGCATATACAGTAGTTCTCCCTTATCCACAGGAGATAATTCCAAGACCCCCAGGGGATGCCTGAAATCACAGATAGTACTGAACCCTATGTGTACTGTGTTTTTTCCTATAATGCATACCTATGATAAAGTCTAATTTGTAAATTAGGCATAGTAAGAGACCAACAGCAATAACTCACAATAAAATAGAACAACTGTAAAAATATACTATATTAAAAGTTATATGAATATGGTCTCACTCTCTCAAGAGTTTTATTATACTGCATTCACCCTTCTCATGATGCTCTGAGATGAGAAAATGTCTATGTGATGAGATGAACCAGGTGAATGACGTAGGCATTGTGACGTAGCTTTAGGCTGCTATTGACCTTCTGAAGATATGTCAGAAGAAGGATCGTCTGCTTCTGGACCATGATTGGCCTCGGGTAACTGGCCAATCATAGATAAAGGAGGACTACTGTACTTTTAGCACATATACTGTTCCTCATCCATGGCTCTAATGGCAGCCCAAATATTGGATACTGAGGTCTTATCAAAGTATATATATACAATGGAATATTATGCGGCCATCAAAAGGAATGAAATCTTGCCATTTGCAACAACGTGGATGGAACTCGAGGGTATTATGCTGAGCGAAATAAGTC